CGAGAACCTCGTGAAAGCCGAAACAGATAAGTTGACAAAATATCTGGACCTGGCTCACGAGGTGACCGACATGTGGGGTGGTCTGCCGGCCGAAATTATTCCTGTGGTCGTCTCTGCGAACGGGTTAATCCCAGTCAGCCTCTCGGGTCATCTGAGGCGACTGGGACTCCGTGACGGATCGCTCCAAGCTCAAATGCAGAAGGCGGTGCTCCTCGATACCGCCCGCATCGTCCGCCGGTTTCTTTCCCTTTCTCCCTAACCCTCGGCCGTTTGGTCTCCCCTGCCGAGGGCTTCCATCTGGTTGGGTTTTTATATATTTATGTAATTTTTATGTATTTATTTTATTTTATTGATATTTATGTAAGTTTATCATTTTCATTTACAATTATATATTTATACAGCCCAACCAGATGAGAAAACTATACAAATACCCCATAATAATAATACAATTATTGGTCCTAGACTAAGTTATAAAGGTGTTTGTCAAGGAGTAATATTAAGTCCTCTTGTCTTTATTTTATACATATTTTAATTAAATAATATTTTAGGATCAAATGTCACTAATTTACAATATGCAGATGATATGCCTCAGGAACAAATGTCAAAAACTTGGTAACCATTTTAAATGAGGCTTTAAAGAAATCGCACATTTACTTTTCACACTTAAATTTAGATATTAGTACTGAGAAAAGTAAAGTTGTAATATTTAATAAAATTCGTCCATTTAACACTAGAATAATTTATAATAATACATTTTTATCAATAGAAAGTTGTGCAAAATTCTTAAGTGTAATTTTTAGAAATAATTTATCTTGGTCTAAATACGTGAATTCTATTTCAGTCAGAGCTTCTAAGGTCTTTAATGTATTAAAAGCTTTGGCTAGTACTAACTGGGGAGCTGATCCAGAAATATTATTAATGTTATATAAGTCTTTGGTGAGGAGCCATTTTGAGTATGGCTTCCTTTGTTTTGCATCAAATAGAAAACTAGTTAACAAATTAGATATTATACAAAATACGAATTTAAGACTTATTACCGGCTCTATGACAACAACTCCTATTGTTTCTTTACAGGCTGAATGTCTTACTCCTCCTATCTTACTTAGGTTTAAATATCTGAAATTTAGGTTTTTATTAAATATTAATTCTTTGTCTCATCATCCTCTTTTTCAAAATGTATTATTTTACAAAATAGTATGTCTCCTATATCTAACTCAGCCCCATATGTACTCCATGACTTTCATGAAGTGATACGATATGATGAACAATATTGTTTAGGCCTAATATTAAAAATTAAGACTTGCATTCCAAGAAGCGCGCTCGGCGCGTCCTTACGATGGAATTTAAAGGTCACCGCCTGGCACTCTGGCTCGACCGACTGTTCTTTACTTGTGTCGTGTGTAACTTGTGTGATTTCGATTAACGTGGATTTAGTTAAATTTGAAGTTAATTAAATGTATAATAAAGTTGATAAACTAATATAGTGAAATAAAAGTTGAAAGTTTCAATTGGTGAACGCCCATTGGAGGGATAGCACATTTGGAGAAAAGCAGCGCCTGTGGACCTGCTGTCCGAATACATCGGTTGAGTCAGGTTACATTTACACACTACTAGACATTACTTAGATACACCTCACTCGCTACCTGACTGGTACCCTGTGGTCAACCCTACCTCCGGAACTCGGTAAGTTTTCTTTGCTTAGCAGCCATAATAATAATCCATAGGCCATTGAGCCCCGCCCTCTGTTGCCCGTCGAAGGTGTTACTCATGGGCCCTAATACAGTCGACTTTTGTCGGGGCAACTAAGGACGTGAACATTTCTGGTAGCAGAAGCGTGGTTGATTGTTTCTACAATCACGCCCGGCCGTAATACGTGATAAAAATATTTTTTTTTCTTTTGTTTGCTTCTTTTGCTTGTTAGCGGATAGGTGGTTAGAACCAGGCCGTTAGGCTGCGCAAGCAGGGTTAGGTACGAGTCAGGTATTTCGGGTAAGTAGATTAATTATCGTTATCATATAATCGTATAATTATCGTTATCGTATAATTATAGTAGATATTAATTGCCGAAGGGTCGGTTGCCTGGGTGTGGCATCTTCGCTGACCGACTATAGTGTGTATTTGCCACGTACCAATTTGTATTGAATTTAATTTGATAGTAATTTGTATTTAGTAGTGATGCCATCGCACAAGCTACCGGCGCTTCGCCTGCAGGCGGAGCTGCGCTGGGCTGCGAACGCCCATATTTTGGTAGGGCGACCCGATCGGTTCCATAGTTCAGCGAAGCGGCTAGAGCAGGTCGAGGGCCGTAGTGGAGGAGGCTTGCACAGAGCTTTTGGCCTCGGATGCGGAACAGGGAGTCCTAGCCTTCTGCCTCGCGGACTACGAGAAATTCTTTTCGCTCACGGACGACTTGATCGAGGCGGGGGCCAAGTATGCTAATGAAGCGCGTGAAGCTTGGCTGAGCGGCCTGGCCGAGTTCTCTCGGAAGCAGCCTACTCAGCCGGAGCTGTTGGGACAACTCCTAACTCTGGACCTGCCAAGGTTCTCCGGGGTCCTCTCCGACTGGATGACATTTGTTGGCCTTTTTGATAGTCTAGTGGACGCCCGGAGGGACTTGACACCAAGCCAGAAAATGACGTACCTCCTGGCCTCACTGGAGGGGGAGGCCCTGGACGTCGTCGGCCATTTAAGATTGTCGGACGACGCCTACCAGACTGCCCGGGACCTCCTCGCCGAAAGAGACGCCCACGTCCGGCGAATTGCGGACGAATACGTTAGGCAGCTTCTAAGCCTCCCGCAGACTACGTCCTGACATCGTGAATCCAGTCTTGGTGGCCTATAATGCTTTGAGGCGGCTGGATTTACCGGTGGATGAATGGTCCTTCTTGTTGCTCCACATCGTGCTGTTCCGCCTTCGTCTCGACCTTCGGATACATTTTGAGGAGAGGTACGGCGGGGATGGCTCCTCCTATATACCGCCCTTCAGTGATTTGTTGCGGTTCTTGGAGGAGCAGTGCCGGCAAATTGAGAACGCGGCGGGCACCGTCGACGACTTACAGGTTGCCAACCGAGCCGTGCCCAGGGAGAGGCGGAATCCGCCGGGCAACCCCCCTAAGGCCAATCGGAGCTCCCGCTGGAGGGCGCCGCCTCCTAACATTTTACAGAGGCGCCCCTGCTCCTATTGTCGAGCATCGAGCAGGTAAGCCGGTTCCGGCGAGGCTAACCATCGCAAAGGAGCGCCTCTGGTGCTACTCAAGCTTGGAAAGGCACCTCTAACCTCCTGGAATTCACCGAACGGTCGGCCCGTTCGGTGAATTCCAACCACACGTCATTGAGATGCCGCCGGAATGCCGCTTTCGGGACCCCCGGTTCAAGTGCCGGTCCGATGGAGGCAGCCCCAGCTAGGTAGCTGCCGCCCTAGCTCCCACCACGGCCACCTCCACTGATCCTCTGAGCTGTCAACAGTCCACTTGTCAAACTGTTCTGTTGCCGACGGACTCAGCGAAGGTATACAACCTGAGTGGCGACACTGTTTAACGGTTCGCGCTCTATTGGATTCCGTTTCACAACGCAGTGTGTCCTCCACTTGGTTGGTTGGAAATCTAGGGCTCCCCTGGAGCTCTGAGTCCTCCTAGGGGACAAGCAGAGTTGGTGTTTGGCCCTACCAGCGAACACCTTCACATTCTAGTTAAAGTAAATGTCCTCGATGACATTGTAGGTTTTCTCCCTAACGTCCGTATAAATGACAGCGCGATTCATTGTGCGTCGGGTTTAAGACCGGCAGACCCTCAATGGTCCCAACCCGGGCCTATAGATTTGTTGCTGGGGGCCGACGCACTGGGGCGAGGCATCCTCAGGTGATATAGACGGTAGCTAACCGCTAAGTGAGCGGCGAGCCCAAACAAGTGCCTTTTATACAAGTGCCGGTTGCGTCATCGGTCTGTTTTTGAAAATATTGGATTGACAGATCTAGATGGATTGAAACTTACAAAGATTATAATATAAAGAAGACTTTTGGCTTTAGCCTTTATGGTTTTTGAAAATATGAAGAAATAAAGAAAATAAGACTTGACTTCGGCCTTTATGGATTTTAAAGAGATGAAAAGAAGAAAAATAAGACTTGGTTCCGGCCTTTACACTTTAAAATTCTATAATCTACACTACTATTATAAAGAGGAAAGATTAGTTTGTTTGTTTGTTTGTTTGAATTGAATAGGCTCCGAAACTACTGAACCGATTTGAATAATTCTTTCATCATTAAAATCTCACATTGTTCCTGATGAACATAGGCAATGTAATATTTTCAAAAAAGTAAGGGATCCGTATGAAAACTTCGTTAATGTAATCCAAGGTGTGAAAAAAATACCAAAAAGAATCCTTATATCGCGTACGCTGTGGAAACTATTGATAATAGGGCAAATTAATGTACTTCATTTTTATAGAGAATATCAATATCTACAAAAAAGCCTGCGATACCATATGTTTAACTATTACAGTTATGTCACAATAACTACTACTTTTTCATGTTAAAATATGAAATAGTAACACCGATACAAACTAGGCCACATTATTCGTATACATGTACCATGCACAAATCACCATCAATTACGTAAACCATGTAATTTTAGTAACATATTTCACTTTTTAAATCTTTGTTAAATTAGCAACCGTCCGTCGTGATGTCTCTCTCTCGAAGTTCGCATGTCGCAAGGCGCAGATGCGTGATATAAGCAGGTGAAACCGCGGGACACAGCTAGTATAGAATATAATTTTCTTTGTATTATATTCAAAATAAAAAAGACAAGGCTGTATGGCTTAGTTCCTTAGCCTGCTCTCTCGAGCGAATAATAAAAACAACAACAATCTGTTTATATTTATTTTAAATGTGTTAATTGGCGTTTCTATTAAATTTTTCTTTAATATTACAATCATCAAGATTATTACTGCATTCTACATGTTAAATTACGCTATCAATAAAAATATAGCTTAATTTTAATACCATGTCCGACGACTTCATACCTTTGAATCAAAGTACGCCTGTCCACGAAAGGTGGGCTGGAAGAATTCAAAATCAAAACAGTTTTCAAAATAATCGTCATCAAAACTATCAAAGAAGACGTGGTCACAATTATAACAACAGATGGGGTAACAACTCATCGCGGAGTAGTTTTGGGGTATTGAAATGTGCATCTTATTTAGTAGATAAAGTTTTTCTTTAAATATAAATGTAAATTTTAGTCAACTTTGTGTCTGCTTGTCAGTAAGTAGGGTAAAAATATAAGTTGTTGTCATAGTTGGATTAAATTATGTTATATGTAACTGATCTCTTGGTGATACTGGTCTTGGAATTAAAGTTCCTAGAAATATTATCATAGTTCGTACATCTCAATGGTAATACCAAGATAATATTTTTTATATTTATAATAACGGTGACAAACGGGCACGTTCACCTGATGGTAAGTGGATACTGTGGCCCATAGACATCTACATTTATCCTCAATTCAAAATAAAGTTTAGATGTGTGACCCCTGTGACCCCTGAAATGGAAGATGGAATGCCTAATTTCCAGTAAAAAGGGTCTCGGTATTTCTACACTCACAATACAAAACATGGCAGCATCAATCTGCTATTTGACTCTGATATTCTCTGAGAGTGTGGTCCTACTCCATTTGTGCAGACACATTTATATGCCACAACCATAATATAAATGTAGAATGGCTACAGCACATAGATTATTTATAAATATATTTATTAATTCTTACTACATTAAACAGTCAAATATAGTAAAGTTACAGCCTTTATACATTCTACTCCTGAGCATGGGCCTCTCATTTCTGAGTGTTTTAGAGTAAGGAAATGTCCAATGAGCTGTCCCTTGTGTGTTGGAGTATTCCATGTCTTCTTAACATTTTTTTAATCCCTCAGACATGTAGATTTTCTTCACTGCTGAGCATGTGGTAAATCAGAACTTAAATTGAAATTAACAATTTCATTGTTAATTTACAGCAAAAGCTTAACCCCTAAGCTAATACACCTCATCCATACATGCATTTATATACAATTCAAATAATTGAAATTAGGTAAAATCTGGCATACAGATACAGTAATAAAGTACTGACGAAAAATGAACATTTTTATACCTTGAGGCAGCAGCTTGTATAAGATATGTTAAAAAAGTGAATAAACAAACTAGAATTTATTTAAATGAGCAGTTTTGTTTGTTAAGCCATAAATTCTTTTGGGGTGTGAAATGTGTCATATTTTTAATTAACTATGTTTTTCATCTTACCTTTGCTAAAATAACATCAGATGTAACAAAACCTTAAATTCATTGACTTGTAAAATACTATATATAGTTTTATAGTATGTTACATATGGTTATATGTTTTATATGCTTTATTGTTATAAGATTTGGTTTTTCCAGAGTGATAGCAATAGCAGTTATGGAAGAGATAGCAAAAGTAATATTGATGCTTACCTTCATCCTTCCATGCTACAGGATCCTTGGGCACAGCTACGTCAAAGAAAAGAAGTCTCAAATACTTGAAATAATATAAATTCGAAACATTTTATAATTAATTTTGTAAATACACTATGTAGTAAACTTAAACCTAAAATTATAAGATATTAAACATATATTTCATTTTTAAATCATCTTACATATTTTGTCATTTAATTAATTGAGCTTCTAAAATTACATAATGTTTTTTAAGTTTTTTTATATGAGAGGGGCAAACAAGCATACGGCTTACCAGATAGTAAGTGACTACTGCCACCCATGAACAACTGCAACACTAGGGGAACCGGGGGAATTGCAGGTGCGTTACCGGCCTTTTAGAAAGAAGTAAGCTCATTTCTTAAAGGTTGTAGGTTGAGGTAGCCACCTACCTCAGCCCATTAGGTGCACTGTAAGTTCGTTTGTTACTTCAGTTTATAAAATGAACGTGAAAAGCAGGTGCAAAAAGTATACAATGTGTCCGGTTACGACCTAGCTGTAATTTAAGGTTACAAAATATACCTAATTTCATCGACAAAAACACCCATATATGGGGGTCTAATCCACTCCTGTCGGAATGGCCGCCATTTAATTTTTTTTTATCATTGTAGATACCTACATAACATAATTACATACATAAACACTCACGCCTGTCACCCAGAGGGGTAGGCAGAGATTATGGACTTCCATTTGGCACGATCCTGACACACCTCTCTCGCTTCCTCCACATCCATATACCTACGCATACACGCTCGTCGGTTAAAGGTACTCTTGATTTGGCCCATTTTTAATATATCGCCAATTTGTTCGATAAACTTTCGCCTAGGGCGACCCTTCCCGATGTAGATACCTCTGCCAAAAAATGCAAATTTCTCTGGACAGAAATGTCCTACAGATGTCAAAAAAATGTTTTTTAAAAGGTAAAAATAGCATCTATCAAATAAAAATAAACATCATGGTAAGTTTTCCCTACAAAATATCTTAAAACATTTACAATGCTAATTTAAGTAAAAAAATGACTGTTTTTTTATTTTTCTTAACTTACTTCAAAACTAGCACATTGATACTATATTTTTTAATACTGCCCTAATACTTAAGGATATTACTTACAAATTGACATTAAAATTATTGTTCTTAATTGCATAACTCGAGAGTTAGGGCTGTATGAATATGACTCTTGTGCGAGGGTCATGTATGTAGAGCCTCATATAAGCGCTATTAATTTTCGATAATGGATTAAATAAAAATACACTATAACTTTTCAGAAACTTTTAGTGGCATTAAGTATTATTATTAATTTAATAATTGTTCAAAATATCCACCTCTATTCTGTAGACAGGCCACTGACCTTATAGCCATTTGTTGTGTGGCCCTTGATATTATGTCAGATCTTATATCATCCGCAATCGTCATTATTCTGTCGAGCAGTTCTTGTCTGCTATTTGGAACTGTAGCATAAACTCTGCTTTATCCGTCCCCATAAAAAATAATCCAGCAGTGTTAAATCTGGAGTGTGAGGTGGCCAAGCTACTGTTCCACCATGTCCTATCCATGGTGAATATTTTTCATTAAGAAAAGCTCTCACAGCACATGCATAGTGAGCTGGTGCACCGTCCAACTGTAGCCACATGCGCCTTCGGTTGATCACTGGTAATTCGTCCATGATTTCTCTAAATGTGTTCCTTAGAAAATCTAAAAATCTTGGGCCATTCATTGTTATTTGGTAATTCAATTGGTCCAATTAATTTGACGGAAGCGCTGGTCAAACATGATTTTTTGTCCTACTTATTAACCGCCCTAACAATAATACAAATCATCTTCCCTCCTTGTCACATTGTACACCCTATTCAATGTATCAGGTAGCTCTACATGGGCTTGGGACCGTCGCACAAGGGTCATATTCAAACAGCCCTAACTCTCGAGTTATGCAATTAAGAACAATAATTTTTATTTTTTATTTTATTTTATTTTATTTATTTAAAAGGACAACCAACAAGACGAACACTAATACATGGATATTAAAGTAACATGAATATAAAACTAAAGCTAAGCGTCATCTTAATTATAGGCTGCCACGGCATGCAAATGTGGACTATGCAAATAAAACTTAAATAGGTTAGTTAATACTAAGCAAATGAAAACTTCAACATTTTAATCATCATTTAACAATCATTATTTTTATATGTTAAAAAAAATCAAACAATAGATATAGATACTTGAATCAAACAGACACCATTGACTCGAGAAACTGACCGAGCTTGCGTCTAAATTTCAACGGCTTGTCAGAAAAGATGTCGATGTTGTAAGACTTAGATATTACGTTGTACTGTCTCTGTAAGCGATTCATGGTGGCGTGGTGACCTAAGCTACTTTTGGCACCTTTTGGTGAAAATGGAACGTATCGTAGGCGACGCGGCAACTTGTATGGGATATTAAAATTGACAGATCGCAATAACGCAGGGCAGTCAATGAGGCCATTGATAATCTTATAAAAAAGTAATTGACCCAAAAACAATCTTCGCCCTTGTAGGCTAGTCATTTTAAAATAGGCAAGACGTTCCTTATATGAGGGCAGCAGTTTGGCTTTGTTAGATTGGTAGGATAGGTGCCAGAAAAATCTCTTCTGTATTCGCTCGATTCGCTTAATATGGACCTCATAATGTGGGGACCAAACCTGACTACAATATTTCAAACCCGAACGAACCAATGCCAAATACAGGAGAATTTTTGTTGAGGGCTTTTTGAATTCCTTTGCATTCCGCAGCACAAACCCTAGCATCTGTAAACCTTTTGTTGCGACTTGGTCAATGTGTTTGTGAAAGCGTAGTTTTTTATCCATAATGACGCCCAAATCGCGAATAGAGTCCACCTCTTGCAATTTTTGACCGGCAATATTGTAGGACGGCGACAAGTTAGTTTTGCATCTCGAACATATAATCACGCCTCTTTCCCGTAGGGGTAGGCAGAGACCAGTTCTTTCCACTTGCTACGATCCTTACATACTTGTTTTGCTTCGTCCACTTTCATTATTCCCTTCATACATGCTCTACGGTTAAGGGTACTCTTGACCTGGCCTTTTTTCAAGACGTCACTGATTTGGTCTAGAAATGTCCGCCTAGGTCTACCCCTTCCAACACTTTCATTCACACTCGCCTTATACACTTTTTTCGTCAATCGTTCTTCATTCATTCTCTCGACATGGCCAAACCATCTCAGCATACCTTTCTCAATTTTTGTCACTACATCTTCTTTCAGACCACAACGTTTCCTTATCTCACTATTTCTTAGCCTGTCATTCAGTTTAACTCCTATCATACTTCTTAATGCTCTCATCTCAACTGTATTTATTCTGCTTTCATGTTTCTTCTGCCATACCCAAGTTTCACTTCCGTACATGAGTGTCGGAACCAACACCCCCTCATGCACAGCCAAACGAGCCTTGTTAGACACCTTCCGACTGCTCATAAAGGAGTGCAAAGCTCCATTCACCATGTTTCCTGCATTCACTCTTCTTTCGATATCACTCTCACACTTTCCAGAACTTTGAACCCAGATACACAAACTCTTTAGTCGAGGGATACTCATCCCAATTTACCTGTCCGGTAGTTGTGGTATGGTATACGGGTATGCGACCCCGGCTTCCCTAGCTATTACTGTCCTATCCCGTGCCCTCCTGGACGGTAATATCCTACATTTCCTATTTCATACCCAAACTTACCTTACTCTTCCTTTTCACACCACCTATCCTTCCCCTTTTCCTATTCCTACCCTCCGCCAATCCAACGTCTGCCGCGCGGATAGATGCATGGCTAGGGGCGAGCCTAGTCGTTAGCGTGCCACACTGCCCTGGGACCGGGCGACCCCAGAATTAGGCTAGCCTTACCCTGGCATGCGGGGCTCTGCTGGGGGGACAAACCTTTCCCTCGCTATTCGTGGGAACGCAATGGATAATCATAAAAATAATTTAATTAACCAAAATGGTGGCGATGTGGTTCGCCACCCATCACGTCTCGTTTCTCGCGGGGGCGAAAAGCGGCCCACGGAGAGCCGCTTCGCTACGTTGAATGTAAGAGGAGGAATGGATGGTAAGGTAGATGAAGTATGTCAGATGATGGATGAACGTTGCATTGATATTCTGTGCGTGAACGAAACCAAGAGGAAAGGATGTGACACCACGGTTCATGGCCCCTACACGGCATACTGGTCGGGAGTCCCCCAAACCTGCCGAGGCTGTCAGGGTGTTGGTGTGATTCTTTCATCTCGAATGGTTGAATGTGTGATGGAGCATGAATGTATAAGCCCAAGACTCCTCTGGATTAGGTTAAAAGTCGGACTCACTCGCTTGTTTATCCTTGGGGTCTATGCATCTCGAAAATCTAATAAATTTACATTTTTCAGTATTTAAATATAACCTGTTCTCCCTACACCATCCAGCGAGTCGATCTAAATCCTCCTGTAATAATAATGAATCATTAATACCTCTGATCTGCATAGACAGTTTCATGTCATCAGCGTAAAGGAAACAAGCAACATGATCAAAGATACCCACGATATCATTAATAAATATATTAAAGAGGATTGGACCCAGATGCGAACCTTGTGGAACGCCAGAAGTTGGCTGAAAAGAGTGCGATGAGTAGCCGTTAACCACAACGTGCGACTTGCGTTGATAAAGATAGGATTTAAACCATTCCAGAAGGCTGCCGTATACACCCAAACGAGAAAGTTTACCCAGTAAAATTTTATGATCAACTGAATCGAAAGCCTTACTAAAGTCGGTGTATATGGTGTCTACAGGAATACGGGAACCAAGGGAGTTAGAAACAAAATCCACAAACGGGATCAAATTAGTTACCGTTGAGCGAGATGCTAAAAAACCTGATTGGCGAGGAGAAATTAAATGCTTTATGTGATAGGACAAGACCGGGCAAACCAACGATTCAAATGCCTTCCCAAAGACTGAGAGTATCGAAATGGCCCTATAGTTCTTCACGGATGCTGAATCTCCCGACTTAAAAACTGGAACAATTCTTGCCTCCTTCCAGATCGAGGGAAATACGCCATTCATTAAAGACTCATTAAATATTATTGTTAGAGGAAAGGAGAGAGATTCACAGCATTGAACTACAAACAAAGAGGGTATTCCATCCGGGCCTGCTCCCTTAGTCCTATCTAGTCCTTTCAGAGTTTTCAGAACATCCTCCCGCCTAAGGGTGAGACTTCCAAGGAAGCAAGAGACTGAGTATTCTAGATCAGGTACATTGCAGAGAGGCAAGCTTGGCCGGTAAACCGAGGCAAAATACGAAGCAAAAAGATTACAAATACCAGTTCCACAAGTTTCGTCTTTATCATCGAATGTCATTGCAGATGGATACGCGTTGCTATTGACTTTTTTACTCTTGAGGAAGGTCCAAAACTTTTTTGGATTTACTGATAGGGACTTTTCGAGATCAGTTATATATTTAAGATAACAAGATTCTGTTAAATCAGAGCACCGTTTTTTAACTGTACGGAATGCCAGTTCGTCGAGTGGGTTATTGTACTTTTTGTATCTCATCCTGAGCTTATACTTCTCACGTGAAAGGTGAATAAGATCCCTGGTATACCACGGGGGAAACTTTTTTGATGCTGGTTTGCTTTTAGGAACATATTTTAAGATAGAACTTCTTAGTATTGAGTAAAATTTGTTATTCATTTCATCCACCGAGGTGCACGAAGCCAGGTCACTCTCCCATGGTATCGAGCTTAAATAATTAGATATTTTTTCGAAATCAGCTTTATAGAAGTTATGTCTCTCATTATAATTACGGGAAAGAAGTTTAGCTGAATACCCGGAGGGCAGCGTAAATTCCAGCGGTGGATGGTAATCATCTACAGAACTGAGCTCAGAGTTACTTCGTGTCACATTCAACAGAATATTAAGATTAGAGAGAACCAGGTCTAAAATTTTGCCTTTATGGTTTAGGACCGTAGTATTATATTGAGTAAGATTTTTTAAAGCTATGAAGTCCAGTAAAGTGCTTTCAAATGAAGTCTTAGTCATATTATTATTGCCATTTACAGCAAACGGTACCTCTGTATCGTTCCAGGCAATACCACTCAGATTAAAATCTCCCAAAATTAAAACTTTTGCGTTTGACTCTAAGACTCTATTAGCGTTGTCGATATAATGTTCCAGAAAATGTTTTTGAATGGGCGATGGGAGGTAGACGCCACACAATAAAAGCTTATTTGGGGTACTTTTTTCCGTAGGTATATTCAATTCGATCCAAATATCCTCGCTTTTACTCTCAAAATGGTGTAGCCTACGGGAATAAATATGCTTTGACACAGCCACCAATACCCCGCCATCAGATTTGTGCTGATGAAGTCTCGCTAGAAGCTAGTCTCGCGGTCGCGTCTATAAACTGCGTAACGATCACTAAACAACTCGGAGTCAAAAATAGTGCTATTTAACCAAGTCTCACATAACACAACTATATTATAATCGTATTTTAATATGTTTTTGTACAAGTTTGTCGTCTTCGTTCGAAGACCCCTAACGTTTTGGAAATATACATTTAAACTGTTGAACTTTAAGCAGTATACTATTACACGACAGATTACAAAATAACAAAAAGAACCTAAGATAAATTGTCCAGGGTCGATTTATTACGTACTAAGACGTATTCAGATGTATCAGTTTTCCGCATGTATATGCGGCCGCCCCGGACCCATACATGTTTGAATTGAAGTTCTTTTGCACGTTTACGGGACAGAGCGTGAAGAAGCTTATTCTCAGGTGAAAGATTTTCTACTACATATATGGGAGTCTTCCTGTTAGGCCCCAACCCCACATGCTCCGTGTTCAATTTTTTCTGTGAGTGAGTTTTATTGTACTTCAATGCAGCGGCTAGCAGGGAGTCCCTGGAGCGAGGGCTGTTAAGTCTAACTAGAATAGAGCGGGGACGGGTACTCTCGGGTTCTTCTTAGCAATGCATGAACAATATAAGATATGCGACTCGCTTATAGGGTAAGATATGGTTTTGCTCAATTGTGTTACAATTGATAAAACGTTTTCAGACTTATGCTCAGGAACACATTGGATTTCCAGGTTCGATGCCCGAGAGATTTGCTCCATTTGATTAAGACGGCTAGTAATGATGATAAGATCACTCTGTAGGGTTTCCTTTTCCTTAATAATTGTGTCAATTTTAGTCTTACAGCCACTCAAATACTTATTAAATTGCTCAAACGAATCATTCATGAATTGTATTGATTCCGTGAGACCAGTGATCTCTCCCCTAAAAGCCTTTAGTTGTCTATTCAGGTCAGCTTTCAAATCTCTCACGCATTCTTCCATGATGACCCTCATCTCCTCCTGTATAATAGCACGCAACTCCGTGATACATTAAAACTCGTACCGGCGTCTGACTCAAGGAGTGAATCCGGGCCTTTACGGCGCAAGGTAACGTTTGCTTTGGGGTTACTGGGCGTCGATGGCCGGACCGCCGTATTAGAGTTATCGCTGCGCGGCTTTTTATTCCGACATTCAGGGCACAGCCAATCTGCCTTAACTTCAGTCGGTAGGTTTTTAAGCTGAGCAGGCGAAATGGCGACACATATGCAATGATAGTATGCCACACAGACACACCATTGCATGCATTCAGAATCCTTAATCTTAGTATAACAGGCGGAGCATTGATGCATATTGCGTTCAAAATCGCGGCAACTACGTATACATGCAAACAATGCAGGTTCAAGCGGCGCTTGAGTGCGACAGCAATTATGTCACTTGTCTCTTATCGTGCAGGGGGTGAGGTGAGGCATCCCGCGAGTCCACAGGCAGCTACCGAGTGATATAGTTTACAATATTATTTTTATAGTTCGCACAACACGCGGGATTATAGCCGTAACTGCTATTAGTAAGCGGTTCGTAAGAAGTAAAATCGCACGCACTGACACTGGATTTTTGCTACACTAACCGACAACACGTCCACTTACGAGTAATATGTTGAATGTAACTGTTTTAATGTCAATTTGTAAGTAATATCCTTAAATATTAGGACAATATTAAAAATTTAGTATCAATGTGCTAGTTTTTGAAGTATTTTGAGAAAAATAAAAAAACAGTCAATTTTTTTTACTTAAATTAGCATTGTAAATTTTTTTTAATATTTTGTAGGTAAAACTTACCATGATGTTTATTTTTATTTGATAGATGCTATTGTTACCTTTTAAATAACATTTTTTTTACACTTGTAGGACCTTTCTGTCCAGAGAAATATGCATCTTTTGGCAGAGGTATCTACAAGAATAAAAAAAAATTAAATGGCGGCCATTCTTTTTTCATTGACAGGAGGGGGGGGGGGCGTAGCCCCCATGTATGGGTGTTTTTGTCGATGAAATCAGGTATATTTTGTAACCTTAAATTATCGCTAGTTCGTGACCGGACACACTATATAGCTTTCTAGCTTTCGCTACACAAATTTATCTTAAATAAGCAACTGAATTTTAAGTAATACTATTAAATAACTTGAGCCCATCAAATTTATGCAATGGCAGCCGACTGCAGTAAATCATAATAGAGGTGGAGGTCATAACGAGGTTTGTTGCCAGGGAATATATCTTTATTTTTTAAATTCCACTTACGGTAGTTAGTTTAGTTTAATTTACGACGGGCTGTTTTCCGCAACTTCACGTCTAAGCGCGTATTTTGCGTGTGTCAGTTCGTCTGCTGCCCTGTGTCCCTTAATCCATTGCAGAGTCACATTGTTGTGTTTACATACCTCACTTGTAGTACCGACATACTGTCAGTCAGTATTCTGATGGAGAAGTCTTTTACCTACCTACCTCTATTGCTATGACTGCTTGGATGATACCTGTCATATTCAAAGATTTTGTTAATTAATAAAGTAAATTGAATGTAGGTAATTTAATATTCACTTATGACACTTGTCTTTTGTAATGCTACCAAGCTTAATACCACAGAGTACCTTTATATATACTGAAATACATAAAATATATAAGAATACATAACAATATTCAACTGTCTATCTTTCTGTCCGAATACAATCTGGACGTCTTCAAGGCAAGAGTGAATAGGCTTTTGTTACTATAAGACGGTGCGAATTACCATCTAAGGCTACATCACCACTTACCACCAGATGGGATTGTGGTCAAGCACTGGCTTATAATAAGTAAAAAAAAGATACCAATGTGTTTTATTCTATATTCTGAACATATTAGTGGCGAAGAGTGGTGAAAAGTGTTAAAAATGGACATAAAATCAGTGAAATTCGATGAGTACAATCCTCAAACAGATAGTTGGGACTATTATCTAGACCGTTTAAAATTTTGTTTCGTGGCTAACGGCGTCATATTAGATTTTGCTAAAAGAGCAGTGTGTGGGTCACGAGTTTACGAAACATTACTTGCATTAATTACTCCAAAAAAAGCGGTTGATGTGACATTCGGTGAAATAGAAATAATTTTAACAAATCATTACCTACAGCCAAAAACCTAACGAAATTTCTGTGTTATAAATTTTATAATTTCAATCAAAAACGTGATGAAGGTGCTTCAAAATACATTGTTCATATACGAAAACTCAGTTCGGGATGTAACTTTACTGACTTAGAAAGAATGTTACGCGATAGCCTGGTATGCGGTATGCAATGGAGTAGCGTGCCTTAGAGGGGCCCTGTATCCAAATTTGTCGGGGGGCCCAAATGAAGGGTAAAGATTTTTCACAAAAGGAACAAAAACTCTCGCATTGAATTAAAATATTTATACATTGATTATAAGTTATTACTTACAATAAATACTCCTAGGCTAACTAAGCTAGCCAAACAATTCAAACCAACATCCTATCCCATAGAAGTCCTTAGAATTTTTGCTTACATATTTTCGGGGCCTCTGTAGCCCAGGACCCCGTATCATTGATACGGCTGATACGGCGGTAGCTACGCCCTTGGCGGTATGTGTGACAGTAAACTGCAATATGAGTTATTGAAACGAGACAATTTGCGTTATCAAGATGTAGTTGATGCAATGTTATAATCCGAAAGTGCAGGGCGAGATGTTCGTATGATTCAAGGCAACACAACAGGAGCTATGACTCAGTCAGAACTAGCATTGCCATACATAAAAGCTTTTAAAAAGTTACTTCGCAAACATCCTCTCTATAAAATAAAATGATGTGTCTTACCTAGTATGAAGAGCACCTCCCGCCCTCCCTCAATTGCGTGCACTATCCCCGTCACCACTAATCCCAGCACCACTACTCCCAACACCACTACACTAGGAAAGACACACCACTGGCAATAATACGACACGTGTTTCGCCTCTACACGAGGCATCCTCAGGTGATGTAGACTCTACGGTGGCTGACCGTTAAGTGAGCGGTGAGCCAAAACAACTGTCTTTTATACAGACCGATGACGCAACCACTCCCTGCTTAAGGAGCGAGCGACCGCGTCATTCGATAAAACATGCGACCAATCACCGCCGGACTTACGCAGCCGTTTGTAAAATTAAAAACAAACCGCCGCGCAACGCCCGCCTACCCTACAACCACGCAACCAATCGCCGATCACCGTGAGGGTGACAAACGATCATATTGCGAGGCTGTCTACTATTAGAGAGCAGGTTTAAAGATATTTAAGACAGGTAAGTCAGAAACATTTTGTTTGTTCATTCAGCAGTGCAACGTTACTATTATTACTTTTTAATATCTCTAACTGTTCCAGCACACACAGTCGCAGCCCTTTATTACACGTATGTAAGACTTTAAAGGAGTGGTCGTTGGCTAGGTTGTGTCCAGTGTACAAAAGATGTTTAGCAAAATGGGATTTATCGAGATTGCAATTCCTGTACGCGGCTAAATGCTCTTTATAACGTGTTTCGAAGTTGCGACCAGTCTGACCCACGTAAACGGCGTGGCACACAAACAAGTTTGTAAACACCCGACTTTTGACGAATATTCAACTTATCTTTATTATTACAGATATTTCTAAAAGAATTGTTTGTTTTGAACGCCACATAAACGCCGTTTTGTCGAAGAGTATTAGCTACTTTTTCAGATATGGGGCCTAAGTAGGTCAAACTTTTTTTACTTAATGGGACAATGAACAAACGATTAATGTAACAATAAAAATCGGCTAATTTATGTTGCCACGGATGACACGATGACGCAGGGATGACCGTGTCGGTATGAGTTGGCTTTCGATAAATTTGGAAAACATGGACGATTCTTTTCTTGTTATTGTTAAGTCGAGGAAA